GTTTGGAAAATACCTTACAAATCAGGTTAGGTTTTACGCAATTCTCCTGCCTCAGCCTCCTAAATAGCTGGGACTACAGGCACCTGCCAGAACGCTGGCTATTTTTTTTTTTTTTTTTTGGTAGCCTTTGCTGTTTTAGCTGGCCCGGGCTAGGTTCGAACCCACCTGTCTTGGTGTATGTGGCCAGCGCTCTACCCACTGAGCAATGGTTGCTGCCCAGGCTTGGAGTTTTTCTTGCCCACCAAAGCCCAGTGCCACCATTTCATTCAGCATGGTCTTATGCCCTGGGCTCTGAGCTTACAAATTATACATTTGGGACTGAGAGATCCATAAAACAAAATTCCTGAAAAAAAATTACACTGTAAGGATGGGCAATACTCTACTTTGAGCAGAGTTGATTTTTGTTATCTAGACTATTAAGTTACTATCTTGTATAACATGGGATATTGTGAAATAGTCTATCTGGAATTCAAAAGAAGAATTTTCCCAAGATGAAGAAAAAGTTTAGATTGTTTTTTTAAAAAAGTCATTTGCTGCTAGGCATGGTGGGTCACACCTGTAATCCTAGCACTCTGGAAGGCTGAGGTGGGTGGATAGCCTGAGCCAAGAGGGATACACCATCTCTACTAAAAAATAGAAAAACTAGCTGGGCGTTGTGGTGGGTGCCTATACTCTCAGCTACTCAGGAGCCTGAGACAAGAAGATCACTTGAGCCAAAGAGTTTAAGGTTGCTGTGAGCTATGAAACCACAGCACTCTACCAAGGGCAACAAAGTGAGACTCTATCTCAAACAAAAACAAAAACAAAAAACTATTTGCCATCAACTGCAATGATTTGGTTACAGTTTTTTAATAATGCTTTTAGGGAAAAAGAGTTAGTTAGGATTATTCCATTTTTCCTCTAGAAAATGTGAAGAGATTACCAAGGTCCAGCTCAGGAAAGCTTGCTAAACTGGAGCCTCTGTCCCCAATAACTTGCCTTTCTTTATTTCTCATATCCCTCATATAATTTATTGCAGTCCACAAATGGAATGCAGGAATCAACTGTATATGCTTTTTGCATTAATTTCAGTACCTGACACAGGGTTATGCTTACAGTTAGAAGTGGCAGTACTGCAACATTGAATAAAATGTGAATTTCAGTATCACATTTCAATAAAATGTGACTTTCTAGTAACAAATAGAATAGGTGGAAGTGAGAATGTGTGTCTTCATAGAGACAAGGTCCCAAGAAGCATTGTGACATCCAGTTTTCTCTCTTGAACCACTCTTGCTGGGGGAAGACAGCTTCCAAGTTGTGAGGACACAACACTAGCTGACCAGTTATGTGACTAAACTATCTCCAAAGTGAATCCTCCAGCCCGAGTCAAGCCTTTAGATGATTATAACCCTGGCTGCCAGGAATTTTATTATCTCCTCTATCCTGAACATGAACTGGACCTTATATACCCTTCTCCTTCCGTTAGATCTCAAGAATTTTTGTAGCAACACATGGTAAAGCACAGTATAGTTTCACAGTAAAGGCAAGGAAACAGGTTTCTATTTTCTACAGCAAAGCTCTTGCTAAGGAAGAGGAAGTGGGGTATAACAAAATGAACAGGGTGTCAGGAATATCATGATTCTGATTAATAAAGGAAAAATATGAGAAGAATCATGGGTATAGAAAGGCCTTGTTAATAAAACACAGTAAAAGTCTGGCTTTCTTACTGTTTTTATACATGTTACTGAATAATAAAGTATGTGTAATGTGTGATGAAAATCACTAAAGTCTGGAGGTGGAGAAGATGACGATGCAATATGGTCTAATATACCAGACAGAAACGTTTGGAAAATACCTTACAAATCAGGTTAGGTTCAACACAACCTCTTTTACTCAAAGCCTGCTCGCTTACCCCAAAACACACACCCACACACTCCTATTCCCACACCCTTGATTTACTGACACCTTCTATCTTTGGCTTCCAGGGAAAAAATAATTTGGCTTGGAGTCAGAAGACCAGATGTTAAAGTAGGTCAATGCCTTTAAGATTCTGAAAAATTCATTTAACTGCTCCTAGCTTCAGTTTCTTCATCAATAAAATAAGGGAATCTGAAGGAACCTTCCAATCTGACAATTTTAACATTCTCACATGTCAATAAATTGGTTGAAATAACTATTTAAGGAATCACAGGTCTGCTACTGTTCAGCTCACAAAGTGATTTTAACTTGGGACACCTGCAACTAGTATGTTTAGTAACTCTCCTGTCTCATGTGAGAGGTGATATCTTGATAAATCAAAAGAACAAGATCAAACCCACAACTGCCTATAAGAAATACCAAGAAACCCTAATTTCAGTCAACTAACAGACAAGACAGAAAGAAAAACTAAATCTCAACATCTGATGCTTTACCTAAAGAAAATTATATTCCTCAAACCTCCTATAGGACAAAGGTCATCGCATTATAACAGTACTGCAAGAACATAAAGTATGTGTCATCGTAGAGAATCAGAATGCTGAAATTCCTCTAACAAGACCCTCATTTTACAAAGAAACAAAATTGGTTCCGAGGAAAAAAAGGGAAGTGGTTTGCCCAATATTGAAGTGAAAACTTAATGGAAAAGCTACATAGAAGATGCTGGGTTTCCAAATGCTAGTCTTCCCACACCACTGAGCAAAACATTAGTATTAGTTAGTCACAGGATGATTTTTTTTTGGAGACAAAGTCTCACTCTGTTGTCCAGGGTAAAGTGCCATGGTGCCATAGCTCAAATGATCCTCTTGTCTCAATTTCCCAAGACTACAGGTGCCTGCTACAATGCCTGTCTAGTTTTTCTCTATTTACTTATTTTTATTATTATTGAGACAGAGTCTCACTTTGTTACCCTTAGTAGAGTACTGTGTCATCATAGCTCACAGCAACTTCAAATTCCTAGGCTCAAGCGATTCTCTTGCCTCAGTCTCCTTAGTAGCTAGGACAACAGGTGCCTACCACAAAGCCCAGCTATTTTGTGTGTGTGTGTGTGTGTTGTTGCTGTTTGTTTAGCAGGCCTGGGCCAGCAGGTTCAAACCCACCAGCTCCAAAGCATGTGGCTGGTGCTTTAACCACTGAGCTACAGGCGTCCAGCCTAGTTTTTCTACTTTTGGTAGAGACAAGGTCTCACACACCTGAGCTCAGGCCTCCCGCTGACTCTCCTTTTAAATTTCTTAATCAGTGAAGGAAAGCATGTCAAGTTTTAATTTGCAAATGTATTTTTTTTGTAATCAATTCAAAACTCCCAAATTAATACACAGTATGCACAAATGTGTGTGTTTGAGGGAAGCAAAAACAAGAGTTTAACATAAAGGAGAAAAAGAAGCAAAGCATTTAGTTTTCAGTGTTTACCTTGTACCTTTAGTATGATCTTGTTTTATTATAACTAGCCAAAGAATGAGTAAGGTATGTAAGTAACTTGAGCAATCCTGTTACTATTTTCCAGGCTCGAGAGAACTTATATTTATGTTAATGTCTTTTTCTTTTTGGAAGGACAGAGTCCCACTCTGTGGCCCTGGTAGAGTGCCCTGGTGTCACAGCTCACAGCCTCAAACTCCTGGGCTCAAGAGATCCTCTTGCCTCAGCCTTCCCCAGTAGCTAGGACTACAAGTGTCCACCACAATGCCTGGCTATTTCTTTAATTACTAGAGATGGGTTCTCGCTCTTGATCAGGGTGGTCTCCCAGAGGGCTAGGATTACAGGCGTGAGCCATTGCACTCAGCCTTTATGTTAATGTCTTTCTAGTACCTGAGCACTGCCAGTTTCCCTTCATGCTGCTTTTGAGTAGGCAGGTGGGTCCTGCCTCACTAAGTAGAGATTGGAAGGGTTTTACAGAGGGAAAGAGACAGAGTGCCTTATAGTTTGATTACACTACTGTTTCTGCTATACATAACAAGAGATTATATGGAATAATAATTAATGCCTTTGTTCTTATCCAAATGAAGTGGATGTTACTTTATCAATGATGGGGAATAATTAGTAAAACCCGAAGATGGCCAGTTCAGTGCTGTAGTCCAAATAAGAATTATGGACATACTGTCACCCAGGAATGCACTTTCCCCCCCCTTAGAAATAGCTATATCAAGGAACCCAAACTTTTCAAGCCACTGCGATATTATAGTGCATGAAGTTAGTGGAGAAGGGACATGCATGAAGTCTCATAAG